GAGGACGATGGCCTGAGGATGCCAAATCTGCATAAAAACGATCAACTGTTCCAGATGAAACTTGGTTGTGTTACCGCTCGGTAATGCGGGCAAGGAGGTTCTGCCTCTACTTACTTGGTGAGAGTAATCAATGACGACGATCGCGATGGGTTCTGACCTCGGTCCGGTGGGAAGTGGGACTGACCAGCGAGTCCCATTTTGGCGAACATAGGGGGCGCAAAGGTGGATATCTCTCTCTCCTTTGTAGCTCGGTCTAAAAACTAACGAGCTTAGGCCAGGTGAAGTTCGAACCGAGCTATGGGCCGAGGTGTTTGGGCTTCACAAGTTGGACCTCGCCCTTGTTAGCTTGGTCAGAGATTGTTGCAGTTAGCTTGGTCTAAACAGACAAAACTGAGGCAACATCAATGACGAGGGCCGAGCTATGTGTAGCTCGGCAGGGTGGCATTCATTAGATTGGCTTCCAATCAAACGGTCCAAATGGCAAGGGACTGAGATAAGTCAGTTCGGTCAGAAATGTATTACTCTCCATATCTTCTCCTACAAACTAATTTATATAATTTTTTAATATATTTTTTTTTATAAAAAGTTAAAAAGTTAACCTAAACAATCATATTTTTTCCTCAACTTTTTAATTTAAAAAGACAAAAAATATACTTATTTAAGACATCTCAAACAATTTTTTTTATAAAAACAATTTTTTGATAAAAAAAACTTTCCGTCAAAATAAAGAATGATTAGCTTTCTCTCTCCGTCCTTTTCATTTGTATTTCGTTTTACAAGATCCAAACACAGGAATATTATTGAAGTTTGGTCATAATTTAAACGACATACTAATGGAAAAATTATTAGTTGGTTCTGGACAGGTCATATTTTTCACCTATTATAATTTATCATATCTTTTTAAATTTTTAAATTACTCAATATAAATTTATAAATTTTATTTTTTTCACCAATTATTATATCATTGAGACATCACATAATGGGACTGAGGGTTGCTGTTGTACCTTATGGCACAGCAGCCTTGCTGTGAGGTTTCGTAGAAAATTTTTTTGACTATATTTTGATGATTTGAACTATTCATATTGTAAGGTTTGTCGAATATATCATTCATGTAAAAAAATCAAGCTAATCGGACATCTGTAACCCCATGATCACATCCTAATTGTTTTTAAAAAATTATTAAAATCATGTTAACCGTTTATTTTTTGAAAAACAAATGTGCTCGTTTTATGAGGTTACAAATGTCCAATTTACTTGATTTTTTTGAATGAATGATCTATTCGACGAATCTTACAATATGAACAGTTTGAATTATCGAAAAAGATTCGAGACACACCCCTGCGAGGCACAACAACAATCCCATTTCCAACAATACTCTAAAACCAACCACTAACTACACATACTAATGGGTCAAAACAATGATATTTGAGTCCTGGAGATGACAAGGGAACCAAATCATGCATACCCACACGTACTAACACTACGACATAAATTAATGGATTGTTTGTTTTTATGCCCCACCATTATCACATAAATTAATGGATTGCTTTGTTTTTATGTCCCACCATTAAACAGAAAGATCCAAAAAGGTAATCCATCAACAAGACCCTTTTTTTCACGGAGCGGAAAATTCCAACTAATTATCGGGATAATGAGTGTTTAGGGTTGATTTTTTAGTTAGCTTTTCTTCCTATTTGATGAATTTTTTTAAAAAAAATTCAAAAAAGTTTACAGTTTTGGGTTCTACTCATTTAGATGGATTGGAAACTTAATTTACTTTTCAAAAAAAATCAAAACAAACTACCAATATGTCCTAATAATTAGACTTAATTCCCGTCAAGTTCTATTAAAAATGTCATAGTAAAATTATCGTTAAAAATAATTTCTTGTGATAATTTTTTGCATGTCACTAAAACTTATAAATAGTGACGTTTTTCTTTGATGAATTTTTTAAACTGTCGCTAAAAGTTAAAAATTAGTTTTTTTTTTTTTGTAACGATTTTTTTTTAAATGTTGCTAAAACTTATAATTAATGACATTTTTTATAACAATTTTTATAATGTCGCTTAAAATTAATAATTATGCATTATTTGGGAAGTGAGTTTGGGAGGGTTTGGGGCTAAATAGCCACAAAAAATAAAATATCACATCCAACCCATAATCATTACATTATTTCTTTCACAAAAAAACCAAAAACTCTTCCCAAGTCAGACTTTTTAGCCTCAGGCTAAAATAGCCAAAAAAATCAAAAAGCCAACTCACTTTCCAAACCAAGCCTTAGTAACGTTTTTTAATAATAGTTGATAAAAAACGTTATTAATTATCATAGAATCTACTAGACAATAAATTTACCTATAAGGACCTACACGTAAATTTCCTAAAAATTTGAAAAAAAAGTCCCTAAAGAACTCCCCCCCAAAATAAATAAATAAATAAATAAATAAAAGACTTTATTTTTAAATTCCCTTGAAAAAAATAATTGACTTAATTTTGAACAAAATCACTAAAGATAAAAAAAAATATATATATATATATATATATATTTTTAAACTATATGCCAAACTACCCTAAATCATGCATTAAATCACCTAAAGCCATTAGATACGAGAATCCATTTTGCACTCTTCCAACCCTCTTTTGAATAATTGGGGATGGAATGTCTGTCACCTTTCATGAAAGCTTAGATAAGAAAGAAGAATGGTAATGATGATGATGATATGTGGAGATAGGTGACTACGTGGTGAACAGATCATAGTTGTTGTGGTCAAAAGGCACAATACAAAAAGATCATAGTTGTTATGGTCAAAAGGCACGATACAAAAAGGACCACCTTTGCATTATTGGGGAAACACTAAGCTGCTTTTGTACTTAATAACAGCAATAAAGCTATAAATATCATCATGGTTTAAGGTAATCTCAAATGGTAAAATTTTTACCCCTCTTTTTGGAATTTTGTTGAATATGTTGAAATTGAATAGTTTTATTCATTTATTTACAAAATACCCTTCTAAATATGTTTAGTCATGAGATTAGTCAACACTTTCAGAATTAACCTCTAATCAATAATGATATTTTGTCTGAATTTTGAGTACCATTTGTATACTTCACCCAAAATCATTTCATAGAACATCAATCACCATTTCTTGTAAATTTTCCCTCCACCAATTCCTTCAAGATATTCATAAAGCTTTAAGGACTGAATTTGAATATTCTGAAAGAAAAAAAGAAAAAGCCCAAGGAACCATCTCTTTCTAGTTTGGTTCATGCAAAAAAACCATAACTAAACAATTTTTCCATAACATGTTTCATGATGCATCGGCCCATGCTGCAAACACAGGCACATGAGGCATCGAAATCGGAGGCTGCCTCAGCTGGGCCGATGATATCCAAGAACTCACACTACTTGCAGAACTAGTGAAAAGCTTGGATGCTGACGGAGGCATTGCGAAAACCAAAGGCAAGCCATTTTGTTTATCAGGGCTGTCTTCTCTTGAGCTGCACAAGCTTGTCACCAGCGACGAACCACCAGACAAGTGGTTCACCACCTTGGCTGAGTCATTGACCTCTTGCTGACCTGAGCTCATTGTTTTGATCCCAATCAAATCATGTTGCGGGGACTGATATAGGGTCATTTTCCAATCCGATTCACTTCCAGTGTTCTCTTTCAGGTGAGTGGCTTCACTGTTACAGTTCAGAATGGCAAGCTCATGATTAGGGACCTCTTTTGCAGATTCGATAGCCTTGTTTCGCCTGGCAAGGTCTCCGGCAAGAAGGGTATTGCTTGCCATGATGCGCTCCACATCGTACCTTGATATGTCAAAGTTAGTGACAGCACTAACCCCACGAAATTTTATTGCTGCTATGTCATAGGCCTCAGCAGCTTCCTCTTGAGTGCCTGAAAATTGCAGTTAAATCAGAACCAGATCGAAATGAAATCAAAACCGGTACAAGAACAGAAAGCCATAGATTGCATTTAAATAGTTGCATTTTTTTAGCAAATTATGTAGCAAAACCACTAATGTCTTGGCAGAATTTTAAATAAGAAGATTTTTTAGCAATTAGATGTCTACAGGAAAAAGTTCTTGCCCAAATAAATTGAGAAGATGCAAAGGAACTCACTGAATGTCCCTAGATAAAGGTCCTTGTTTCCCGCAACTCTGCCTATCCGAGCTTGCCAGCGCCCATGTTGATGATGTCTGTTGAAGATTACATCAAAATTAGAGACCCACAAAGAAGGGCAGGGTCTGGGAACGACGAGATGTACATCAAATATACTTCTACTTATAATTAAAGGAAGCGTGCCAATAAAAATGATAGATTAACACATGTATGTGCAAAAAATAGTAAGACCTTGTGACTCCTCTGTACATTGAAGCACCCCTTGAGAAGCCACTGCTTTTTCTGCAAAGATCAATATATTAGAGATAAAAACACATCAAACAAAGAAAACAAACATTGTTGTCTAATATACAAGGGGAGAGACTATACCTTCTTAAGTGAGCAACATATTCTTGTCTGGTCATGTTCTGCATATGTTCAAGTTCTTGTTGATAGTTTTCCAGCTAAATCATCAATATACACAGTCCCATGTCAGTTACAAAACAATTGTTAGATGAAATAAGCTGATGAGACGGTTAGAGAACCACCGGAAAATTGATATGGGTCGAAGGGCCCCAATACTTGAGTGCAGCTAAATCATAAGCTCTTGCAGCCTTTGCTTCCATATCATAACCCCCTGAAAATTAGTATTTGGCAATGATGATGCTATGAGAATTGAAGGAAAGAACATGCTTATTACTCAATCATTGTCAATAACAAGACTTACCCAGATAAACTGATAGTCATTATTGGTATCACCCAGCAATGAAGAACATGAGAAATGAGGAAAGAATAGAATATTAGTCACTTGAACAACAAAAGATGGCCAACAATGCAGGGCCTGGCAAAGTAAAAATCTTAAGGAGACAATGTGGACGGATTATATGTTTCCTTCACTAACCTTGCCTTCCTTTCCTGCTTTGTCCCTCTTTCTTACAACTGTTGTCCCATAGATGGGCTTCATATCTACCAGTCCATCTATGCCTGATGGATGATAATCCATAGAGAGAAAATCAAAGTACTAAACATGAAAACAAGGGAAACACGACTTATGAAAATAAATAATGGGTGATCCAGTACACTAGATTCCCGTTAATGCACGGTTTGAAGAGAATAAGATGTTCAAAGTCTTATCCCGTTTTTGGAGAGGTTGTTGCAGTGGCTTGAACACGTACCACCAGAGATGTCAACAGCAAACTTATGTTAGGCCAAGCCACCCTTAACTCACAAGATTGAATGAGAGAGAAATTGAAAAAATGCAAACACGGCAAGATCATGAAGCAATATATTGCTTTAGGGGAAGTACTAGATAGGAGCCATTTGATACCGAATTTGGAGTAAGGGTATTTTTGGTATTTATGCATTTGTGATACATTGCACTAATTATCTCTACATATTTTGTGTAATCTTTTTTAATCAGTGCAACTGCAGCGATCATGAATTTGTGGATAGCTTTTGGGTAATCTATGTATATCTTGTATTTTTGTATATGCATGTGATTTATAATTCTTATGCATTTATTCTTTTCTGTTTTTCTGTGAGCCAATCCTGGTTAGGTGTGACTAATTCCTAACAGGATAATGAGTAATGTAGGAAGAAAGGTATGCATTTTGTATAATAAAATACAAAGATAGACAGATGCAATAATAAAGAACATCTAGCATATTACGGAAAAGAGATGGAAGGAGATTAAAGAACTAACCTTGTGACACCTCTATACTGTGAAGTCCTCTGTCCAAATGTATCAATGGACTTCCTATGGACAACCTGCTTCTGATCAAGCTTCTCAGACCCTCTTTTCTTTCCCTCCATGGCTACACACTCAGTAACAGTGGGTGAGATCTGCTGTGAACCAGTAACACAGCTTGATTGGGAGCCAGGGCTCATGGACAAGCTCAGTGACTGCAAATCCCTATACCCCAATGCACTCACAGACCCAGATTCAACCCCATTGTCCAATGCATGACTTGCAGGGTAATAATTCCTTGAAACCCAGTTCTTCATCCCAGAGAAATCATCTTCTGCCATGTTTGGGAGCTGGAGATTGCAATCTGAAACCTGGGCTTCCTTAGTCCCCTCCTTGAATGGTGTTTGGTACACCTCATGGCCTCTAAATGCATAGTAATCTGAGTATTGCTGGGCTTGAATCTGCTGTTGTTGACTATTGTTGGTCTCATGATCTGGGTTGTGGTGGTAGTACATGCTGTCTAAGCTCAAAGCCATAGCTTCTCTGTCACTGCTTTCATAGTGATGGGCCCCCATTGTTGCACCACCAAAGAAGTCCTCGAGTTTTGGTGTTGAAGTTGTTGTCATCACTTCACAGGCAAAAAGTCAAATACAGAACAGTCACAAAACAAACAACCCAAAATGATAAATAAACAGATTGCAATTTTAAGCTAACCAAACCAACCTTGTTGTGGTTGAGACCTGGTGAGAGCTTCCATTATGCACAGTGACCCATCAGACTTGAGTGGCATTACAGACAAGGGAGAGTAAAACCCACCATTTTGAGCTCCATAAGAAGAGCCAGAGTAGCTGAAATGAGTTGGGGAGTGAAAGAAACTTGTTGGGAGTTCAGTGGAAACAGCGTTGGAAGGAGGAGGATGATGAGGATCTGAAGGAACCTCCATGTTGTTCATGTGAGAAAGAGAAAAGCCCAACCAGTTGTTACTATCATCATTACTCATGGACTTCATTTTCTTCTTTCTATGAATCTCCTTTCCTACTTAATCATTGGGAAACAAATAAACTAATCATACATATGCAAAGAAAAAGAATGAAAGATAACTGTTTGCTTTTCCCTCCATTTTGAAACCTGGGTATTTTGTTTTCTAGCTGCAGAAAACAAATCTAACAAGCCATCTGAACAAAATCCAAGCTCACTGAATGGCCAAGTCTATGCTCTATCTATTTTACTTATCTATATATATATCCCTCTTTCTCTCCCTTTACTTTATTTCTCTCTCTTGAAAGAATTCTAAAGAGAACAAAGCAAGAGCCTTTAAACTAAACAAAAAGAATGATGTGTTCCAGCAAGCAATGCTGGGCTGCATTCCATAGGGATCTGTGTTTGAGAAAGACCTCTTCTTTTGCTTTTTTTCCTGTGCTCCTTCCTTCCTCTCTGCCTTCTCTCTCTTTTCTTTTTCAGCCTTTAAACAATCTATACACATAGCAAACTATACACATGTATGTATATTCCTTAATAAGACCCTTTACTTGAAAACTAATACAAAAAAAACCCAGATGCCATAAAGTGATGGAAAGGACTTAAAACCTGAACCAAAGTCGACATGGAAACCAAGAAACCTCTCATTTTCTGAAATCGACTGGACTTCTCTATACTCATTAAAATGTCCAATTATAATTAGCAAACAAAATCCTAATTACTCCCTTTCTCAGTCTTAGACCATGTCTGTTTTGTTGGATAATGTTGAGAGTAGAGGCGTGCGGGGTGCGATTTTAGTGATTTGAAAATAAAATTATAAATTGAATGGCGGATTAGCGGATTGACAAAATAAGGTTTGGGCGATTTTTGATGAATTGACGGATTAAAGAATATTTTAACTAATTATCATACATTTGGATAATATATAACACTAATTTGTATAATATTTTTAAATATATAATATAAAGTAATTTCACATAATATGTTTCATATATATAACTATTAATTTGTAATAAATTTCATATCTTAAGTTACTCTCACACTCATTTTTATATTGATATTTCATTGGAGGTTAAAAAATATATGTATTAACTATAGCAGATCGGAGCAGTTCGGTTAGCATATTATAAATTTTAAAGTTTAAACCGTAGTTAGCGGTTAGAGCGGTACCGATTGATATAGATCAGTGCGATTTTAACGGATTGGGGCAATATTTTCCACTAGAGTCCGGATCTTCGACCGCACTTCCTTGTCGCGCCTCCAAAACGACGTCGTGTTCGATATATATATATATATATATTCTTTCTTTCTTTCTTTCTTTCTTTCTCTCTTTCTTTCTTATCATCAACACTGGCACTATGTTGCTGATACATCAACACTGGTATGTTGCTATCTACATTTATCACCGATGATTAGCTCTCTTTCTCTCTTCTTTATATGTCTTCATCTTTTTTTCTCTGTATTTCTCAAATCATCATACCCACAGAAAGAAAACAAAAAAAAAAAAAGAAAAAAAAAGAAAAGAAGAAGAAGAAGATAAAAGTGAATATTGAAGCTTGATTATCTCATCCAATTTAGTTTCTGGGGTCATCTCCATGACAGCAAACGGAGCCCTCGCACAACGAAACACCATTTAGATTCTAGCCCTCTCTCACAGCATTCATTGATTCAAATGTTGTTGGGGAGCTTTCATCAAAAAATCGAAGAAACAAATCTAAAAGTTGAAGATAGCCGGCAAAATAAAAATTTATATTTTAGATGTTTATTCTCTTCTTTTTCTAAAAAAAAAATGATTTATCAATTTGTGGGTTTGTGATGATTTTTGGTTAAGTAATTTGTGAATGTTAGATGTTTGTTGAAACTGTTAGATAATGTCTCAATGGGACCACATAATTAAATGTGGTGTTATCATTTATAAGAAGCCTACAATTTAAGTGATTCAATTTAGTTAATAGGCTTAAGGGTATATGTGTTATGGACCTAATGTGTAGATACTAGTTGTATAATTTCTATTTCTATGAGGGGCAGAAATAGAAATTAAAACATAATGGTTAAAGTTGGTTTTCATTCCTTTTCAACTTCCACAACCTTTCAGTTTTGAAAACCAATAAATAGAAATTAAAACCAATAATGGTTAAAGTTGGTTTTCATTCCTTTTAAACTTCCACAACCTTTCAGTTTTGAAAACCAATAAATAGAAATTAAAACCAATAATGGTTAAAGTTGGTTTTCATTCCTTTTAAACTTCCACAACCTTTCAGTTTTGAAAACCAATAAATAGAAATTAAAACCAATAATGGTTAAAGTTGGTTTTCATTCCTTTTAAACTTCCACAACCTTTCAGTTTTGAAAACCAATAAATAGAAATTAAAACCAATAATGGTTAAAGTTGGTTTTCATTCCTTTTAAACTTCCACAACCTTTCAGTTTTGAAAACCAATAAATAGAAATTAAAACCAATAATGGTTAAAGTTGGTTTTCATTCCTTTTAAACTTCCACAACCTTTCAGTTTTGAAAACCAATAAATAGAAATTAAAACCAATAATGGTTAAAGTTGGTTTTCATTCCTTTTAAACTTCCACAACCTTTCAGTTTTGAAAACCAATAAATAGAAATTAAAACCAATAATGGTTAAAGTTGGTTTTCATTCCTTTTAAACTTCCACAACCTTTCAGTTTTGAAAACCAATAAATAGAAATTAAAACCAATAATGGTTAAAGTTGGTTTTCATTCCTTTTAAACTTCCACAACCTTTCAGTTTTGAAAACCAATAAATAGAAATTAAAACCAATAATGGTTAAAGTTGGTTTTCATTCCTTTTAAACTTCCACAACCTTTCAGTTTTGAAAACCAATAAATAGAAATTAAAACCAATAATGGTTAAAGTTGGTTTTCATTCCTTTTAAACTTCCACAACCTTTCAGTTTTGAAAACCAATAAATAGAAATTAAAACCAATAATGGTTAAAGTTGGTTTTCATTCCTTTTAAACTTCCACAACCTTTCAGTTTTGAAAACCAATAAATAGAAATTAAAACCAATAATGGTTAAAGTTGGTTTTCATTCCTTTTAAACTTCCACAACCTTTCAGTTTTGAAAACCAATAAATAGAAATTAAAACCAATAATGGTTAAAGTTGGTTTTCATTCCTTTTAAACTTCCACAACCTTTCAGTTTTGAAAACCAATAAATAGAAATTAAAACCAATAATGGTTAAAGTTGGTTTTCATTCCTTTTAAACTTCCACAACCTTTCAGTTTTGAAAACCAATAAATAGAAATTAAAACCAATAATGGTTAAAGTTGGTTTTCATTCCTTTTAAACTTCCACAACCTTTCAGTTTTGAAAACCAATAAATAGAAATTAAAACCAATAATGGTTAAAGTTGGTTTTCATTCCTTTTGAACTTCCACAACCTTTCAGTTTTGAAAACCAATTACAACCTTTAAAAGGTTATGGTCCCTATTCCTTCCCAGGTAGAAATAAGAAAGCTGCCATTTTTTTCCTAAATCCTCTCAAGGAGAAACATAAGGCACCAAAGGGGAAAGGATTAGAAGGCAATAACATAATCAATAACAAAGAGTTCATTGATAATCACGCTTCCGTTTAACCGTTCATCAATGGATTCACGTATGTCATTTTGTCTTGATTTCTTGATAATACACATGGTAAATGATCCAAAGTGTAAGGTTTATGTTCTGAAATTTATGTTTACAGAAACACCTCAATGAAACGTTAATGTAAAATACATGTTCAAAGTGCTAATATCAAGAAACGTGTGAACCATGGCTCTGATGTACTTTTGGCAAAGCTGTTAATCAGCTCCATCTCCTGCTACGAATCAGACTCTAAAACTACATTTTTGACAAAACCCAGTCGCCGCCTCTCCTCACTTTGACTTGCCTTGCCTCTGTCGCCTCTCTCTCTCTCTCTCTCGTCTAGATTGTGCCTTTCTGTCTCAGAGGCCAGGGTTCAAAAACGAGAAGGGGAAAGCAAAATAAGAAAGAAAAAAATATATAAATGACGTCGTTTTGAAAGGCGGCAGGAAAGTGTGGCCGAGGATTTGGACTCTTTCCACGGCCCTAATTTGGAGTAGTTTGGATCTTTATTTATTATTATTTTTTTGGATAACTAGCTATGGAGTCCTTTAGACCAATTAATTCGAAGAACCAACTCATTTGGGTGCAGTTTGGATCTTCATAACTATCAAACACTAACTACTTGATTGTGGATTTAACTTGTAATAAATGTATTTTTTTATATAAAAAATGATATACAAGTTCATTTCTTAGATCAATTTTATAAATTCAGTGATGTGTGATTGATTGATAATTAAAGAAAAATTTAATTATCAATCAATTATCTTCTTGATACATCACTAGATTTAAAAAGAAAAAAATGAGTCTAATTTTAGGACTGAATTGCAACACTTCTTTTATATTTGTAAACTTGTGATATTTCTCTATATTGTTTTCTATAAACATGCTGAATAGATTTTTTTGATCTCATTTGGAAGTTGATTATTTTAACTTGAGTAAAAATTTATATTTAGGAGTTTTTTTTAAAAAAATTGATTTATATATTATCAAAAAAAAAATGATTATGAATTAAATGTGATATTTTATTTTATTAATTATTTTAATTTATTTTATTTTTATTAATTATTTTAGGGAGACTTATTTATAAGTCATATTTCGGACACTTATGGTATGTTAAGTCATGTGTAATTTCTTATATAGTCTCAAGTCTTATTTAGATAAAAATATATTCCACAAGATCCTATTTGCGAAACGTAACGTTACACGTTACGTTACGTTTATGTAGGTGTCACGTTACGCTACGTTTATGTAGGTGTCACGTCACGTAACGTAACGTTTATGTAATGTCCCATCTGATATAGTCACGTTACGTTACATTTATGTAGGTGTCACGTTACGTTTCGCAAACTTAATCTATGGTAACATTCAATTTCCTATATAAGAAATTGAATGTTACAATAGATCATATCTATGTGAATGTGAATTTCAAAATACACGAACAAGTAATATTTTCATATTCAATTTAAAAAATCAAAAACCTAGTAAGTTTGCGAAACGGAACGTGACATGTTACGTTACGTTACGTTTATGTAATGTCCCATATGATATGGTCACGTTATGTTACGTTTATGTAAGTGTCACGTTACGTTTCACAAACTTAATCTATGGTAACATTCAATTTCCTATATATGACTTTACCATTATTTATGATATTAACTACTAATATTGAGGGTAAATATGTCAACAAACTTCACACAGGACTTGTGGGAATATAAATTTTTTCGTAGGATTATATGTAGCATAAGTCTCCCTAATAGGACTTATAAATAATTTTCCCATTATTGTAACCCAAATAATCCTTCCCAAAAAGGCACATCATTCTCTCGTGAACATATGGCCTTGTTTGGTTTGCTTTTGAGAGTATAATTTTGAAGAAAATTTTTCAAAATTTTATTTGGTTTAGTAATTTTGGAAAAAATTTCCAACATCACTTTCTCTCTTTTGCATATCAACCAATTATTTTTTCTCTCTCCTTT